ACCCGCCCCCGACTCCGGACACCCCATAACACTGGAAATTCTCATTAAATGTATTCGGCTTTCCGCATAAGCTACCAGCCCTTCAGTTCCGCTCACACACTCAATGCCACGTTTAAATTACCCTTTTTCGTTTTTCTTAGACACTCAAAAAACCGCCATCACTTTATGAGCAGAGTGAGTGCTTTCCCAGAGGAGCCCTTACATTTTTCTCCTTCATCCAGCGAGCAGTTGGTCTCACAGCGGATGCAGTGTGAGAAAAATCTCCTGGGCAAGCACTCAATTTTTCCACTTTTCAGTTTTCCTTCTTCCATCCAGCGAGCATCGGTCTCACAGCGGATGGAGTGAGAGCTTTCCCAGTAGAGCACTTAAAATTTTCTCTTTCATCCAGCGAGCAGTTGGTCTCACAGCGGACGGACATGAGAAAATTTCCTGGGCAAACACTCATTTTCCCCTCTTGTCAGGTTTCCTCTTTCCGTCCAGCGAGCATTAGTCTCACAGCGGACGGAGTGAGAGCTTTCCCAGTAGAGCACTTAAAATTTTCTCTTTCATCCAGCGAGCAGCTGGTCTCACAGCGGATGGAATACGAGAAATCTCCTGGGCAAACACTCATTTTCCCCTCTTGTCAGGTTTCCTCTTTCCGTCCAGCGAGCATTGGTCTCACAGCGGACGGAGTGAGAGCTTTCCCAGTAGAGCACTTAAATTTTCTCTCTTTCATCCGGTGAGCATTCGGTCTCACCGTGGACGAGAGTACGAGAAAATCTCCTGGATAAGCACTCATTTTCCTCTTTTCAGGTTTCCTCTTTCCGTCCAGCGAGCATTGGTCTCACATCGGACGGAGCGAGAAAGTTCCAGGTAGAGCACTCATGTTTTCTCTTTCATTTCAGCGAATATTTGGTCTTACAGTGGATGCAGCGCGAAAACCTCCTGGACAAGTATACAACAACCACACCTTGTTCGCAGTCAACAAGGGCCATCAGTCCAGGCAGTGAGCCAACATCACGGGCCTCCCTGACCAAGCATCCAGGCCCCTTCTCGAGATGCCAGCCCGCCATTTCTTGGCACTCTTTGGGGGGTCTTTAGTCCGGCGGCTGTCCTCTGCTCTTTAGCCTTTTGGGGGGAGTACTCTGGGTTCGGGCAGAATTCCGAGCACGGAGCCCTCCCTCCGGACAGCACGCCAAATACGCATTGAATCTTACTCACTCAAAATTATATGTAAGTGTGAACTCGTGAAATGAAGTTTTGTTAATAACTAAGTTCGGGAGGAGCACGTTCAGATAATTAACACGAGTGGACGGCAATCAGCAATCAGCAACCAATGATAAGAGGGTATATATAGACTCAGCAGTCTTACCTCGATCCATTGGCAGTTTGCAGCATCCCTCCTCCACCCCTTCTCCACACTTCTAGTCCTGCACACTCCTCTTTCTAAAAAATCACTTGCATACGGGGGGAGTACTCTGGGTTCGGGCAGAATTCCGAGCACGGAGCCCTCCCTCCGGACAGCACGCCAAATACGCATTGAATCTTACTCACTCAAAATTATATGTAAGTGTGAACTCGTGAAATCATGTTTTCGGTGCTGATGCAGTGGTGACGTGTTTATGTAACATGCAATTTTGCGCTGAAGTTGAAAGGCATTTTGTGCATAGTAAAACTTATCTGCAACATTTATCAAGTTCACTGATAATTGTGCTTGCATTTATTAATCATTATGATACTAAAATCATAATAAAGTAGTATGCTTCCCTTTCAATAGTCCAAATTCAAGGCCATTTTCGTCTTTCTTCTGTGGATTTCATCAGCTCCTGATTGATCAAAATTCAGATAGATCGACAAACCGGCTCATTCAATTGCACAGCGCACACACCTCACGAATTCAAGCCTACAGCTCAGATTTACTCACTAACACTGTTCTGGAAACGCAATAAGAATGGATACTAAAATATGGTAGCACATTATATCAGCTGCAGTTCGGGTGCCTCAGTCCCAATACACTCGACGTACATTCACATTACATGTTAATGCGGCGGTAGAGTTACACACACAGGACAATGCACTTATTCACAATAACAAACGTTCATTATTTGCTCGTGCTTTAAAGCTTTGCCGGGGAAACATTTATTTGCCGTTCTGTTCTAATGCACTTTTTCTGAGCGCGTACTGAAGCGCGCGCGGACTGTCAAACAGCGCCACTGTGCCACTTGGATTTTTGTTGGGTCAGACCCATCTGACAGCGATGGCCCGGGGGCCAAGACCGAGAGAGCTACATGGAAAAAATATGCACCAAACAAGCCACTTTGAAATTTGACTAAATAAATATAGACTAAAAAAAGTTGGATGACCCTCCCCTCATCAAAGCATAAAAAGACATGACCCTCCCTTATTTTCTCCCTTATATCTCCGGTGGACCTTTCTATAAATACCAAACGGTCCCTAAGAAAGAAAGACATATTAGTTAGAAAGAAAGAAAGATAAGACAGAAAGCAAAACATTTTTTAGAAAGAAAGAAAAATATTAGTTAGTAAGAAAGAAATATCTAAAGATTGAAAAAAAATTCTAAAGATTGTTTAGAAAGAAAGAAAAATATTAGTTAGAAATAAATAAAGATTATAAAAAAATATGGAAAAAAGAGACAGAAAGAAAAATATTATTTAGAAAGAAAGAAAGATTACAGTTTTTTTATTCGCTTTGGTACTATTTTCACAAGTAAGGTGTACATTTTCAAAACTCTTAGTACAAAAATCCAAACAGATCACACTTGTAACGCAGCTAGTCATTCTTTCAAAACCTGATGTAATGCTTTCAGTCAGTTGCACATGTTTTCAGTCCACATAATCATTATTTCAAACACAAGATTATTGTAATATGTAATGAGAACATTTGGTTTAATCACTGAAACACAACAATATGATCTTCTTTCAGTTTAGTACTTTTAACAATCAGTTCATCCAACAGCAAACAATGCAAGATACATGTTTCAAATCGGCCTTAGAAGTGCTTAAATGAATATGCTACAGTACTATAAAAGACAGATTACACAGTTTTACTGTAACATTAGGCAATACACTTACAGTACCCAACATTTACATAATCTATAATTTCCAAATATCCATCATATATGTCGGCCTAATCAAGTGAAGGATCAATGAAGACATCCTCTACAATCATTTAGGCAAATTATAGTTTTTATTTTTCAGATAAAATTGTAACATAGGTATACTTTCCATAATGAAATGTAACTACGTAAATAAGAACAAAACATAACATTTAGTGCACACATTACTGCATATAGTGGCCAATTGTGGTTACCACTATGTGAAAGCAATTAGCTATAACGAGTATTCATCATGTGTGGTTACATGTAATTTACTTGTAAATATTCATACAAACACACATTTTATTTCTGTAGTTCTCAAAATCCATATACTGTATATTGCTGAATTGAAAATCTATAGCTTTACCAAATGATTACGTAATTGATTAAACATTAAGAGCAGTTGGATTAAATAATAGACAAAAGTATTAAACTGAACAAAAAGAGATGCAAATCAAAAGTTTGATAGTAAGAGCGTTATGAAAGGCAGTTACTGTGAATGAAACAATAATGTAGATGAAACACTTATTTTGTGTTGTGAAAAGGATACTTTGTGATTGTGTGAATTGTACTAACACAGTTGAAAACATGATGAAATGTTTGAAAAAAGTGCACTTTTGATGATCTGTTGTGCTATTAGCACTAAGAGTTTTGAAAATGTACACCTTACTTGTGAAAATAGTACCAAAGCGAATAAAAAAAACTGTATTTAGAAAGAAAGAAAGATTATTTAGAAAGAAAGAAAGATTATTTAGAAAGAAAGAAAGAGTTAGAAAGAAAGATTATTTAGAAAGAAAAGAAATATTTAGAAAGAAAGAAAGATTATTTAGAAAAAAAGAAAGAAAGAAAGAAAGAAAGATTATTTAGAAAGAAAAAAGGAAAGATTATTTAGAAAGAAAGAAAGAAAGTAAGAAAGAAAGAAAGAAAGATTATTTAGAAAGAAAGAAAGAAAGATTATTTAGACAGAAAGAAAGAAAGATTATTTAGAAAGAAAGAAAGAAAGATTATTTAGAAAGAAATAAATATTATTTAGAAAGAAATAAAGACGAGTTAGAAAGAAATATTAGTTAGAAAGAAAGATTATAAAGAAAGAAAGAAAGATTATAAAGAAAGAAAGAAAGATTATAAAGAAAGAAAGAAAGCAAAAGATTATTTAGTAAGAAATAAAAATATTAGTTAGAAATAAATAAAGATTAGTTAGAAAGAAAGAACAAAAGAAATAAAGATTATAAAGAAAGAAAAAAGATTATTTAAAAAGAAAGAAAGAATGATTTTAAAGAAAGAAAGAAAGACTGGTAGAAAGAAATATTAGTTTGAAAGATTATAAAGAAAGAAAAAAGATTAGACAGAAAGAAAAAATGTATTTAGAAAGAAAGAAATATTAGTTAGAAATAAACACATAACTAAAGATTAGTTAGAAAGAAAGAAAGAAAGAAAGAAAGAAAGAAAGAAAGAAAGAAAGAAAGAAAGAAAGAAAGAAAGAAAGAAAGATTAATGGTCTAAATGAACTCTTCTCCTTCTGTCCCACACTAAATATGCTAAACTGAAACCCAAATAAACAAATGAATGTGTACGCTTATTTGAAATGCATTTGTATGGATATTAGTGTTTGACTGAGACTGATGATAATAATAATAATAATAAAAGAAATAATAAAAGAAACTAGCCGACCTTGACATTTCCTTCTATAAACAACAATGATTGAAACATTCACATTATTATTTTGGGCTAACAGTAAATGATTCTGTGCAGACAATAACAGAAAGGAATGCTGTACTTACATCTATTATTCATTCAATTATGCATTAGTAAACCATTGACATACTTTTGAGAATCTGAAAAAAAATATACCAAAATCTGTATTTGATCATATTGGCTTTGTCTGTTGGTTTTGTTATTAACTTACCCTTTGACTGGTTGAACCGTTCTTTTGCGACCTGGATGTTGTTTTTGAAGCTCTGATGGGTGCCAATCAGGGTCTGAGTCTGACTGTCCCAGTAATCTGCTCCCTCACTCTGTCTCATCCACTCTGTCTTTGGCTCATCTTTCATTGTGTTGCTGTCAAAGTAATCAATCTGCACATCATCCACCAGACCAACCGCAGTGAACTCTGGAAAGTCAATGTCTCCAGACACAGCAGTGTAGACGTATTTCAGAGAGTGTGTTCCTGCGGACGGAGACACACACAGGGAGATTGTAATTTTAGTATTTATCTCAAATTATACATCCTTGCATACAGTTTGTTCAAAATGAACACAAGTCAGAATTACATGAATACTGAGATTGATTATTAACCTTTATTAATTATATTATTATGATTGTTTTAATTAAACAATTATCTATATTGCTACAACTATATCTTAAAAACAATTATCTATATTGCTACAACTATATCTTAAAAATAATTATCTATATTGCAATATTTCATTTGATACAAACTCTTTCTGCTTCATATGTAATTAGATTGGCTTGGAAAACTGATGTTCTTAAACTTCTTCTTCTTCTTCTTCTTCTTCTTCTTCTTCTTCACCATATTTCAGACTGTATCTCCTGCTAGACGTTAAAGCTACGAGCACCAAACTCGGTCAGACATTCACACTGTTCTGACTTCAGTTGTTATATCTTTCAGACTGATTTGAGTTTCAGATTTCTTAAAAAATAATATTAAAATTTATTTTTGCTATCTTTTTTTACTTTTCTTTCTTTTTTCAAATTAATCTTTCTTTATTTTTAACAACTAATCTTTCTTTCTTTCTAAGAAATCCATCTTTTCATTCTTTCTATTCTTTCTTTTTTCCAATCATTTTTTTCTTTCTTTTTTCCTAACATTTCTTTCTTTCTTTCTTCCAACTATTCTTTCTTTTTTTACTTTTCTTCCTTTCTAACTATTGTTTCTTTTTTACTTTCTTTCCTTTTTCTTTCTTATTTAATTTTCTTTCTTACTTTTTACTTTTCGTTTCTTTCTTTTTTCAAACTAATCTTTCTTTCTAACTAATCCATTTACTTTCTTTCTTTCTAACCATTCTATCGTTTTTCTTTTCTTTCTTCTTACTTTTTTCTTTTTTCGAACTAATTTTTCTTTATGTCTAACTAATCTATCATTTTTTCTTTCTAACTAATCTATCATTCTTTCTTTCTAACTAATCTATCTATCTTTCTAACTAATCCATCTATGTATCTATCTCCAATCTCTCATTGTTTCTAACTAATCTTGATGATCCATCCAACCATCCATGGTCATGTTAAAACATGCTAAATCATGCTAGCAATGTAGTAAACCATAAAATATGATAAATCATGTTAAACCATGCTAGAACAGTTTAAAACTTTTCAAACTTCCTGGCTATAGGCTTTTCCAAGCCAACTTAAAGTTTGTCTACGAAGTTTACCATCGAGTTGTTCATATTAAAATTTTGGTAACACTTCACTGTATATTAGTATACATGTTACATGTCACTGTAAAAAATATTTTCATGATTTGTAATCACAACATTTTTTCTTTTGTCAAATCAACTTAAATAATTTATGTAATTCAGATAACATAATATTTTGAGTTTCTGGTGATTAAATCATTCTCCTTCATTGTATTAACTCAATTTTTCCATTTCAATGGACTTAAAATTTTAAGGCAACCAGGTTACTTCATTTTTTAAGTTAAACCAACAATATTTTTTACAGTGTAGTTTCTATAGTAGTTACTATAAATGTTGCATATTTACTTGTAACTAGCCAAACCACATCCTCATCGTAACCCTATAGTAAGAAGGCTACATTTACGTAATTATTACTACTGAGTACTTAAATGTAAAATTACACTGTAACTCCGACACTAAAATTAAATGTAACCCAACGTTTGTTACCACATTTAATGAGACCTCAGTTATACTAAAAATATAGCAAGATGTTCTTTTAATTATAATAATATTGACTCAGAAACAGCTTTATTGGCCAAGGAGCTCTGAGTCCAATAACACAAGAATTCAGATAACAAGACATGAATCTAGATACAGTAAACAATGGATAAGTTATATACAGATTCACAAATTTCAATTCTCAATGTAAAATAAGACACATGTATTACTAAGTGTATTATTTAAAAAGCTGCAATAATAGAATGAAAAAAGCAAAATTGTAACAATAATGATTTGTAATATTCAATCAGTCTATTTCGCAGACTTATTGTTGGCAGGATTATTATTGGCAGGAAGGAAGGGTTAATTCTTGGCCTTATATTGCCATCTAGTGGACAAAAAGTACATTTCTCCCAGGCGATTTTTTTCCAGTTGATAATTGGTTATTTTAAACAGCAGGATTTTTTCTCTGCCATTAATAGGTTTTACTCCAATAAATGGATATATATATATATATATATATATATATATATATATATATATATATATATATATATAGTGTACGGCTTATTTCTAATTAAAAGTAGACCAACCACCGTTTAGTTGCTTTAGCGAGTAGTTAGTCATCGTTCTCTGGGCAAAAAACGTTTCTCAGGTCAGAAGTGAAACTGATGCATCTGATACAACAAACTATAGCATGATGTCTATAATGCGATGTGTATTTTAATTAAAAAAAAAAAACCATTTTGACTTAAAAAAACCCTCAAACCAACAAACAAGTAATAATTTGGTACAACAATTAGGCCTATGTTATGTCAACTATATGCTATTTGCCTTTAATTTCCGTTTCCTTTAATTTAATTTACAAGAATACTCAAGAATTCCATCTTTCTCAGTAGCCTAAGTAGGCCTATAATTATTATTGTTTTTTAGCTAAGAATATTTTTTTCAGTAATACATATTCATCAAAATGCTAATGTCATACATTATGCACTTGTTCAAAGTTAATATGCTTTTGAGAATCATGAAAATATGCAAAATGCGTATACCTATTTTTGGAACGTGACAATTTTGACTCAACATGGGCTGGAGGTATTTTTAGTTTAATAGAATAACTCGCCAAACTTCAATCTTACAAATAAATGCTTCTACAGTCATAATAAAATAATGTACTCACCAGCATAGGCGAGGTGAACTCCGAGCAGCAAAAGCACAACAGATCTCATCCTTGCTGTCGAGTGAGAAACTGTTTTCGTCAGTAAGAATCGTTCTAGAGAAATGACTGAATATTTGTTCTAGACGTCTCAGTTCTCTCCTGTACACTGCTGATAAATGTCTGAGGACTCTGTCTGAGCGAACGGCTATAGTCTCTGAAATTCCAGCCAATAGATATTCCATATTCCTTCAACGTCACAAGTTACTACGAGGTACTTCCTGAACTGGGTTGATCATGGAAGTGAAAGTAAAATATTAATTAATTGTATATGTAACCATGTAAATTTTATTGTGTATAAAAGCCCTTCCAAGGACAGGAGTTGAAAATTAGCAGCTATAAACTTTATATGCAACACTTCAGTGACATGATTGGTCTTGACACTATGTTTGTTTGCATTGTCCCTGTCAAATAAATAAATAAATAAATAAAATAGCATAAAGTGGAGATGCTAAATTGTCCGTATATGAATGAAAGAGAGAATGTGTCTGTCACACTGTGTGTAAGCCCTGATGGACTGGCAATCTGTACAAATCTCCAAAGATAAACAACCCCGCATTATTTTTTTTAATTATTTATTTTGATGGCTAAATTTCACATTCATAAATGAAAATTTCAGGGGAAAAACATGTTTTGTTGCATTTAAGAATGAAGTGAAGCATTATATAGAGTCAATATTGCCCTTGAAGAAACAAAAAGCTATTAGAATTTGACAAGCATGTACACTCTTTTAAGTATTCATTTAAGTTCATACTGTTTGACACCATAGAAGAAGTTTACTGTAGTAATAATACTAATAAAAATATTATTAACAATAGGGCTAATATTCTCGCTGCAGGAGAAGGTGTTGAGGAGACGGTCAAAGTTGTAATTCTTAAAATAAACATAAATAAAAAACATACAAACAAACAAATAAATAGCATAAATAAAGTCATCATTTCACCTCAGGGTTATTATTATCTGATTTTCTGATCAGGTTAAAGCCTTCTAGTGTCATCTTTATCAACAGATAATTTTTTTACATTTTATTTATTTATTACATAACATTTACTCAAAGCTTTCAAGTAAAATTAAACATCATGTCTGAGCAGGGGAGGGTTGTTTTCCAATTTCTCTATTTCTACTGGACCCACAAAGACTAAATGAAATGGGGTGGGGTTGGGAAAGAGGTTAATTGGAGTTCGTATACAAATTATTTTGAACAATTAATTTCAATAAAGAAATAAATGCATGTACAAAATATAAACCGATATCCATTTTTTTTATAGTGTTACAAGTTACTGACTTGATTCCACTCACTTCATGGGTGCATAATTTGTTATTCAGTCATATTGGCAGCACTTAACAATATGCTTTCATGTTATCATTTGTTAACATTTGTTAATATGGACTAAGAATGACAAATAGCTACTTCTTCAGCATTTATTAATCTTAGTTCATGTTAATTTCAACATTTAGTCTACTAAAACCAAAAATCAAAAGTTGTAATTGTTAACAATGCACTGTGAACTAACATGAACAAACAATGACCAGTTGTATTTTTACCTAATGTTAACAAAGATTGATATACTGTAACAAATTTATGCTATAGCTTGTGTTTATGTTCATTAATAGTAACTAATCTTAACAAATGAGACCTTGTTGTATAGTGTTACCGTATTATGTTCACAAACCATTAACTTAATAATAAATACAGGCAACAACAAAAAAATATTTAAATTTAGTATAGTGCTTGGAACTGACATCTACTAGGCTACATCACTTTTCATGTACCCCACTTAAAAATCCTTAACTTTTGTGCAAGTTGTAGTCTTCATGATATTCAAATAGCCAACGCAATGCATACAACTACACCAGCTATAAAGGTTCGAATCTGTTGTCAACACAATACTAGATACATACAATAATATGGTATTTCCCTGTGTCCTCAACTGCACTCTGTTCCGAGAAACCACGTGATATATTGGCAAAAACCAAAGCCATCTATGGTGACTGGTGAGTTTGGAAAAGGCTATATTGTTGGCTCAGGGCGCCATCTAGTGGAGGCTATAAATGCAAAAATACACGAATTAGAGAAATGTATCATGCAGTGCTTTTTTTCTATTTTGAGAGGTTAAAAGATGTTTGCATGATGATACATGAAAAATATGTCACACAACATCAGAGTATTTTCAAATGTCACAAAAATTGTTCCTGCTGTTAAAGCGCATGCGCGTAAACACGCAGTTAAAGTGAAAGTGAAACGCTGGAAGCTGCACGAAAGATTTTGGGGAAATCCGACGAATGATCTTTAACACACCAAAAATTACAGCCGCACAGAGACATCATTTAAACTTTTAAAGCAACGATGTCTGAGATTTCGACAATATACAAGATATCTATCATCGCATTTGCATTGTGTTTTCGTGGTAAGTTTTTGCTGCCTGTTTGCAATCAAGACGACAGCTTAATACATTAACTTGTGTATGTGACCAATGAACATAACTCTCTTAATATTTATAATCTTGCATTATCTCTCCTATCTTGCAGCTTCTGGTTCTGGGTGTCCGGTTCTGGAGTGCTGGTTTGTCCAGGAGAAGCCCGGTCATGGAGGAGGTTTCTCAGTACCAATGAGTCAAGAGAAATCTCTAATGTTCACCAGAACTGATGCCTACAGTGAAGAGAACATGTCTGATCTTCATCCTCCTGTAGACATCAGCCCGTCCAGAGTTTACTATGTGACTGGTTAGTGTCAGCATGTGCTTTTTGTGGAATCTCTTAATAACTCAAAAAAGTACACCTTCGAGTAAAAGAATATTTTGTTTAATGTTGTGCTCACTTAGTTGTCTGGATATGTTATGTTTAATATAGCATATAGTATTATGATGCTGCCCGACAAATAAAAATACTGTATTTAAATCTCCTTTCTACACCAACCAAATCCAACGCTACAGTCACAGACGACACTGTATGGTCTGTTCTAGAGTACAAAACAGATATTTGATGATAACTGATCTGTAATGCACTGTTCTCCTCCAGATCCAGCTGGCACGTTCTGTGGTGCCGCCCTGAACCCACCCAAAGGCTCTGTGAACAAACCAAAGTGTGAGATTAACCCGTTCATGCCTCACGCCTCCATGGTCAGATGGGCATCAGCTCTCACTGACTCCGCCCAAAGTCCAGTCTACCTGCAAGCTGATTGGTTCTCAGTGGCGGCACAAGGGCTTGATGATCAGCTGACGTTGTCCAATATTATGCGAGCGCCTTCAGCTTCCAAAAAGCCAAACGGTACAGACCCTGAACTTATGTATTGGCAGAATAAAATACATACATTACATAAAATAATAATATACATATATTTTGCGTAATACATTGTAATACATAATACATATTAAATAAATGATCTGTAATATTTAATAAATAATACTTAGAATTATTATTATTCATAGTTATACATAATGTGCTGTGTTAAATTTTATTTGCATTCCAATTTGATTTAGCAGTTCATGTATCTTACATTTTAATTAGGGCTGTCAAATGATTAATCACATCCAAAATAAAACATTTTGTTTACACAATATATGTGGGTGCACTGTGTATAATTATTTTGTATATATAAATACACACACATGCATGTATATTTAAGAAAAAAAATGTTTTTATATAAATATTTATATTTATTATATATAATATAAATCTATATACAGTATATACATGAAAATATTTCTTAAATATATACAAGCATATGTGTGTATTTATATATACAAAATAATTATACACAGTGCACCCACATATAACACATGTAAACACAAACTGTTATTTTGGATGTGATCAATAAATCGTGATTAATCATTTGACAGCCCTAATTTTAATTCATTAAATAACTTACATTATTTTTAGCCCTTCTGTTCTAATGATGGTTAAACACTTTCTTTGCTCACTATGCTTCCTATATTTCTCTCTTTCCTAAAGTCATTCTCAGTGTCTCCAGTAAAACTCCTGTGGTCCGCTCTAGACTGGGAGAACCGGTTCTGTTAGACTGTGGGTTCTGGGTCGACCCGTCTTCTCCAGTCCACGGCTCTGGATTCTCTGTCGAGTGGCGTTATCAATTTCGGGGTGAAGGACGGCTGGTCCTCGCTTACGATGGCAAGAACGATCGGTTTGCCGAGACATCAGAGACCGGAGCCGATATAGACATCACAGGCCTCTATGAAACAGGAAATGCATCTCTGATTCTGGAAGAATCTCAAGTGAGACACTCAGGAACGTACATCTGCACAGTGTATCTTCCACATCTGCTGGCTCAGGTAGCCGTGGACCTGGAGATAGTTGGTGAGATAATTGAATACACTGAGCCTGCCATAGCCAAGTCAGATTTACATAAATTATTATGGATATGATGTTTGATGTGTATATATAATATGTAATGGTAACCATCACTGCCTCTTTTCTTTCCAGAGCCTCCATCTCTCTCCATCTACCCTTCTCCTCTTCCTCTGCTGGTTCCTGGGCAGGTGCTGCTGGTCCAGTGTGAAGCGTCTGGTTTTGCTCCTCACACTCTGGATCTGGGCTGGGAGTTCACCGGGGCTGATGGGAAGTCGCGCTCTCTGGGTCAGGGGGGTGTAACGGGTCACAGACAGGCGTCTGATGGCACCTTCAGTCAGAGCAGTCGTCTGGAGCTGGACTCGGGTAAGATGAGGCTCGGTCGCGGCGGTGACATCACCTGTGTAGCCAAACACGACGGAGGAACACGGCGAGCTACTGCGACACTCAGTGTGATTGGTGAGTGATACTGTCATAGACTGACACGTCTTTTTCAGACAGTGTTTATGATCAATCATTAAACATGAGTAGTTTTACGTCCACTTCAATTGTCTATATTTCAATGGTGGGTCTTTATGACAGTCTGATTCATATTTTAATTTCCAGCAGAATATTTCTGTCAGTCAGAATGTTCTGCAACTCTTGATGTGATCTGTTGTTCATACAGGTGTCAGTGCTCCTTCTATTGAGGACTCTATGGCGATGGTCGCTGTCGCTCTGGTGCTTTATGGCATGATAAAGTTTCTCTACTGGACATTCAGCTCTTCTGGTAAGAGGGTTTTCTAACATCACTGCTACACAGAAGAGCTATTTACACATGAACTGACGATAAAATTATCTGTT